GATTCCTTCCAAATAAAAACATGACTTGAGACAATCATTCTCTTTCAAAATAAGCAGGATTTGTCTTTTCAATTTATTTGATATGTTTTAAATCTATGAATATTTAAATGTCTCTTGTTTTTGCATGGGGGAGAAAGTTTTACATTAAAAAACTTCCTCAAATGTGGCACAGAGCAGGAGGGTATCATCTCCTACTTCTGTGCCAAATTTAGTGCTGATCAAAAGTTCAGTTTCAAAGTTATATCTTTTTGGTTTGGGCTGAACCCATTTTTAGAATTTTGATTTGTTCTGCCAGTGCAATAACATCACTGTGTTAGAGGGATTAATGTTCTTTATCTCATGGGGAAAGGGACCAGGAGAGGAGAGAGACCCCAGCCAGACTACTGACAAGGAGACTGTACACCAAATTCTTAGTTCAAACACTATACATGTAACATTTATTGATTTCATTCATTTAAAACATAAGAAAAAGGTATCAAGAGGCCTTTTTTTCCAGAATTCGCATGCACACCATACTTGCACACGTAGAGACTCTTCCCTGATGATTCATCAGTCATTCAGTAAAAGCAAAGGGAGGACTGTTGCATTGCTGTTCGAAGCCCACAGTCTCTTCCTGGGTCATCCTTCTTGTAGGCATCTTCCTTGTGGGCTGTGCCTATGGGCTGAACCTGGGTGGGCATAGGCAAGCAGGGGGCAGACACTGATTTCTGGGACAGGTACAGTCTGTAGTTCTCATGCAGGAATGCTTCTTGCAAGTGTACAGTTTGCTTCCTCTACCAAAGACCCGGTTCCAGCCAGCCTGCTTCCCTTTTCTTGTCTGGATGAAGAAGTTCATTCAGAACTTCTGCCCATGTATGTAGTTTCTTGCTGATATAGAAACTTTATCCCTTGCAACTTTGCAGATTTGTATCAAGCTCACCATCCCATCTTCCCTTACAAGTATCCGCCTTCTTTTCAGGCCAGGGTTGCTGGTCTTTCTGGAACCAGCACACTCTATCACTCATAACAACTTCACTCTCATGCAGTGATAATAATGCCATTCCTTGGTCGTTGCTATTTATACCAGATTTATCATAGGGGTTAGGAGCTAGGCATGTGGTTAAAAGTAAGCACACACAAAAAGGAGAAGAATAGCCCCCTGTTACCTCTAGCACTCTTTTCAAATCAAGATATATCAAGGTTTCTGATCACATGGAGAAGTTCCATGTAGAGCAAACACTCTTGTTTTCAGACTATTGTTCTACACAAACAGAATGACAGGGACATTCATATACTCCCTTCTCATGTGTTTGCTTTCAATCATGTTCTTGATGCTTCACTAGAGATCCTGGCAAATGCAATCTGTCCATCAGTCATGCTTCCTTCCAAAAAGATTCATGCATATTCATAAGTGCTGTCTAGTTAAAAGTCTGTTGCCCATAAGAACAGTTATTGCTCCTAACTCAGAAATAGATTATACTAGTAATACAGTGAAAGTGATTGCTGTTCTTTAAGCAGGTATCTAACATGGGTTAACAAAGTCTTGGAAGACTCCAAACAGATAAGTGGACAAAATGAACACAGCAAAATACATTCAGCTTTGGGGTTTTAAATTATGTCAACATAGATAAACAGCATCTGTGGCACTAGTAGATTTCACATCTTCCCATTTTACAGGTAAATCAAGATCAATGAGAAAGTGGATCACTGATAGATACCCAGTTTGTCCACAGTGACTTCACTCTGCATACTACTACTACTACTACTACTAC